GTACTGGACGGACAGCAGACTCTTACACACGTTTATTGGACTAAATTATGTAATCAGGCTCGCCGACTTATTAGAATACTTGCGGTGAAAACTAAATGAAATGCACGACTTGTCTAAGCTAAGGAAACGGGCTAAACTATAAATCTGACGATAGAAAACACAACTAACGATCGTGACTTACGTCTGATCTTGGCTCTGGGGATGAGAAAACTCCAAGTTGTGAAAAAAGTCCGAAAGACTCCTGTAAAACTCCTCTTTGCTCCAGCGACAACTCCTTAAAATGTTCGCGCGAAAAAAGGCCTAATAGACTTCTATGACGTAAAGGAAACTAAACTGAAACAACTCTTTGTGCGGCTAGCCTTAAAAGAACATTCATAACCACGCAATCAAAACGGAACAAGGCTACATTTTAAGAAAACAAAAAAGTCGTAAAATTTTTTTTAAAGCGTTCTTTGTACAGCAACGTGACAGATTATGTTAAAAAAGGTTAGTGTCGAAAACAAAGCACCGAAAAACGAAGACCGAAGACCGAAGCCCCCAAAACTCGAAAACAAAACACCCGAAACTCGAAAACGAAGCACCCAAATCTCGAAAACGAAGCACGCAAATCTCGAAAATGAAGCACCCAAATCTCGAAAACGAAGCACACCCAAATCTCGAAAACGAAGCACCCCCAAATCACGAAAATCGGAGATGATGAAGCCACCTAAAAAATCCGACTTTTCCCAGTACCATTTCTGATTGTTTTTCTGTTTATACATCACCTAAAAAACATCTGCTTTCGCAGTGGCAAGTCGCGTATTGATGCAATTAATTACTGTGAGTGACAACTTTATTCCCACAGGTCCTAAAGAGCTACTTTGATTCGTCTACGAGCAGCGACACGTTTCTGGCGCCAATCAAGTATGAAAGAGCCTTCGCCCCGCGCCATAGTAAATCGGACGAAGGACTATTTTTGATAGTCTTGATATGCGGCTAAACGTCAACAATTAAGGGAGTTTATTTTTTTTGCGGGAAATACTCCACAGAGATATTCTACGAAACATTCTACAGAAACGGAACTCCTATCCCTACAGAACTACTAAAACAAGCGCTTAGGCTAATTCTCCAAGAAAATTATTTCCAGTTTAATGGAAAGCACTACCTTCAAACACATGGTACGGCCATGGGCACGAAAATGGTAGTCGCTTTTTCTAATATTTTCATGAACAAGGTAGAGACAGGGTAATACGCGCGAGTTTTTGGCCTCGTTTCAGACCTTTTGTGTTACAGCTCACGCGTACTTGAATACGGCAAACTACGGCAAGGTAAACATTTATGTGTACCGAAAAGATACCTATCAAGATAAGATTTATCAAATATAGCGAGATTTATAAGAAACTTAATACAGGATCCCATCTAGAAACGTTCAGTTAAACAGGGCAGAGGGTAAATTTTTTTCAATACTTTTTTTTTAATAAAAAAAAAAATAAGAAATGTGTGATTGTTGTTGTTGTTTACATAAGAATAGTTCGTAGACATTTGAATTCACTTAAAAGTAAAGAACCTGTGTGGTAGACAGGTCATGCCTTGAAAAAAGGGTGGTTTTCACGCAACCTCACGGGACACAAGTAGCAATAGAAATGAACAGATGCTGCTCCGCCAGCATGGCGGCGATAACGTAACGAGAAAACCACCATTATGCTCATATTTCCGTCAAGTCTGCCTCTTCTCTGCCGTGCATGGCTATTCAGTTGGTAGGTAGTTTGATTGCTAGAAACCACTGGTTTAAAAACAAATGCCGTAAAAAAAGAAATTAAAAATGTCTTGAAACAAGAATGAGTGCTTTGAATTGTGAATTTCTGGCCAAACGAGAATAGAAGGGAAAAAACTTTTAATGCGTTGTAAAATGTGTCATGAAATGTGTCATTAACGAACAGTGCAGTCACTGACACCGGAAATCGTGAGGTGCGTATGTGAGTAGAGTGATATATATAACTGCAGACAGTACTTTTTTTTTTGGAAAATCAACTTTATTTATACTATGATTAGTGTTATATACAGAACAAAACTCAATTAAAACTCAATTAAGTGAATTAACTGTAAAGGGCCCGCTGTGCAGCACACCAGTGAAGGAGACCCAACACAGGGGAACTTAGCTAGGTTATTGACAGTTGCTGGGTGTTATTACTATTTACAAGTTGTTTTACGGGAAGGCTAGCTCCTCTGTGCAGTACCCCAGTGAAGGGGCCCCAGCACCGGGAGAAATCTGTTTTCTATTTACACGCGAGAAAGGTGCTCTCTGTGCACTGACACCAGCTAAGGAGACCCAGCACAGGGGTGTTATGTAGTGGAAAAAGAATTTACAAGGGGTAATTTACACTTTGATTTGAGTTGATGGTTCTCAAAGGAGCAGAGAACGTTCCGATGAGCCCAGAGAGTGGTAGATGTCGCGCCTGGCGAAAGGTGGAAAGCCGCATTAATGCGGAGGCGTATGCGGGTAGTGATTTTAGAGATTACAGATTTAGGTGAGGGCCTCCGGGATTCAAAAGTCCCTAGGTTCCGGGCGGCCCACAGCTCGTTGAGCGTGAGTTTGATTAAAAAGGAGGTAAGAACGTTTGAGCTTTCGAACTGGCCTGGGTGCTTCGGGACAGTCCCTGCCGCAATAAAATAATTGAATTAGTGAGTAAAAAGGGGGAATCATAGAGCTGATTGATCAGGTTCGACACCCAGCTCCACACAGGGGACACCAGATGACAAGAGCAGAATGCATGAGAAATTGTTTCGCGCTCGCCGCAGCCCGCGCATTGATCGCTCACGGCAAACCCCCGCCAGGACTCGAGGTAAGCCCGCATCTTGACCACCCCGTGAGCGATCCGCCACGCAGTTTCGCTCTCCCAGCACCAAAGATTTCTTCCCAAATGTGGCGCTAATTAAATCGGCACGCGAACCTCCGTTCCCACGGTGTGACACAAGGGAGCCGCCGGGGAGGAGGGGGAGTTAGCCTGGAATAAAAGGTTCTAGTACTTTGGTCAGGGAGAGAATCGAGATTCCCCCCCTCCCGGTCAACGAGGGTCAGTACAGCACGGTAATTAGGGGGTTGGTCATCCCCTAAATGCTTGGGGAAGTTATTGGAGCGGAGAAACGCCCAGCTATTAATTCTGTGGCTCAGCGGAAAGCCGACCAAATATCGGGCGAAATAGACCCATTTAACTCCGAAGATTAACCAAAGATTATCTGAGGGTTTTTGAAGTTACCCGAAGATCCCTGAATTTTCCAAGACCTGCGTTTAATTTAAAACAACTCCGAAGATTTTCCGAGTGGTTTACGAGCTTGCAGATACTCCGAAGTTACCCGAGGATCCGGTCTGAGGAACAATCGAACCCCCATGAACATGGTCGAACAGCTATGAGGAATTAAGAAAACGCTGAAGAATCCGCCTCAACAATTTTTTTACCGTTCCACTGTTATGTAAGTTACACGGAATTTTTTTAAGGTGAAGTTTGTCTTAGCCAAGTGAAAAGTTCATGGATATTGGGTAAAATCAAATCAGTTTGTTTCCGGTTGGACAGTTAACCAGCCCAATACCCCGCTCCTTTTTCCTCGTCCGAAGAACAAAGAACGATCGAAAACGCAGGCCTTGTGAAGACTTGGCATGCAGTAAAATACGTTAATGACGCCATTGTCTAAAAAATGATCGCGAAATCACTTTTTTGAATTAATAACTTGAATTTTGAATAAAAATATCACATCTACAGCCACAGCATCAGACTTTTCCCCTGACCAGCGGTGTCTCACGTGACCACAACAATGGGAGGGGCTGGCCAAACTCATCCTTTTGGATACCCAGAGCCGTTACCACAGTCATTTACGACATCTATGTTTAGCCAAAGGCTGTCGCCGGCGATGTCTTCTACGCAGCAGCATTCTTTTAGCGGTATGCGTCCACTTTAACCATCCGTCCCCCAAGGTTTTCCTTTAGCGCCGAAACCCATCATTCCTGAATCTTCTAATCCTTTCTCTTAAACGAAGCTAAAAGGAAACATCTCAAAATGTAACGGATGTAAAGGAAGCTTTCAAAAAGACTCACACGTCGTCCCTGGTTCCATAGAGGCCACTTGCAAGGTCTGCTGAGAAGAACTGAGGGAGGCCTGTCTCTAACGGAAGAGCTTATCATTTCCGTTAAGCAGTGCTTTCCCGGAATTGTAATTGAATAAATGGCAGACTGACTAAGGCATTGCTATATTTTCTTTGTACCCTTTAATAAATAATCGAGGTCTCGATTTTAAAAAGGAACGCTGACCATGTTAACCGATAATTTGACGAATGATTTGCTGCTTATTATTTAGTTTCACGGCCGTTAAAAAATAGATAAGTTAATACTAAAAAATAAACAAAAGATGAAATAAAAAAATCGATAAAAAACAAGTGAAGCCGGGAGTTCGATTGTTGCTCGAAGATCTCTGGGTAACTTCAGAGACCCTCGGATAGTTTTTGGTTAATCCTCGGCGAAAATATTCGGAGCTCGTACACTCTTCGGAAAAATCTTGAAAAGAGAAAAAAGAAGAATTGAAAAAACAAGCCTTCAAAAATTCAGGGCTCTCCGGGTAACTTCGGAAACCATCGAATAATCTTCTGGTAAATCATCGGAGTATATTCGGAGCTCGTACAGTCTTCGGAAAATCATCGGAGTCGTTTTGAATAAAAAAAAACAGACGTTGAAATATTCTGGCGGAATTCCGGCGGAATTCCAGATTCCAGATTTTCCAGCTTACCATCAGTTGAGAGTACCTACAGTAAACATGATCTAATTTTTTTTCATTTGCAGTGTGCAGTGTCCCCCAAAATTATGACAGATTTCTCAAGTGCAACCGACACCTGAGTTACATTTGAAAAAACACGAGTAATTAAGTATTCTCGTAGGATGATAGAGAGTTTAAGAAGGGATGAGATTCCTTACACTTATGCAATGTTTTCACTGAGTTGTTTATAATTTTGTATCTAAGCACAACAAAATCAGCTGCAATGATAAACCACCTTTATTTTCAAAACAATCATGAATAAAAAATTTAAACCTAGAGAAAATGAATAGTTAGTGATTCAGAAGTTAAGCAGCCATTGATACTGTAGACCCTTTTGCAAGAATCAATTTAACAACTACTGTCAAACTCACAACAACATAATACTCCAATATGACCAATGGCATTGGAGATCAGGACACCCAACCAAATCCCAAACTAATAACCAATGATTGTTTTTTTTAATTTTTATCATGCAGATTGGCTTGTCTTTCTTAACTGCTCCAATACCTGGTTTATTTGTTCATTTTTTCATTAGTTTCACAGTAAAAAAATTACCTTCCAGTAACCTATACTGCTTGATGTTAATTCACCATGTCAATATAAAAATCTCTGTGGGCACTATATATTAAGTTCTCAATTAAATAAACATTGTTTGTAATGAGATTAAATAATCACAAACACTTTTGGTCAGCAAATCACAGAAGCATGTGTTTTAAATATTCATTTCATACATGGTGTGTTTTGTAACCAATCAGAACCACAATTGATAGAACTACAATGTGAAAGCATAAGGTTTTCATGTTTCAACTTGCTGTTCATCTAATTCACATTTCATTTAGTTAATGTTGTGGGCCTCTAGGCATTTTCAAGTAAATTATATGGTTGCTTGCTTTTATGATTCGCAATGCACATCATGGACTCTTTCACATTTACAATTAAAAAAAGTGTCATTGTGATAGCTGAAACAAACAAATTTTAAACTAAACATTGTTCCACAAAATGCATTATACCTTTTCAAGCAAGATTGTTGTTCTAACAATGGCTTCAGTGACCTGGTATGGATCACAGTTTGATGAGGGTCTTCGGTCTTCAAGGTAGCCTTTTCCATCTTCAGCACAGTGACGAGGGATACGCACACTAGCACCTCGATTAGCCACTCCATGAGAGAAGTTCTCAATTGATGATGTCTCATGGAGACCAGTCAAAAGTCTTTTGTTATCTTCACCTTCATTGGGGTCGTACATCCGAATGTGGTAGTCATGTCTGCTTGAAAGCCTTTCAATGGCCTCATAGATATACTTCATTCCTCCTTCTTTTCTCATTGGCTCAGTACTAAAAATCAGTTAAAAAAAATAATAAGATTTACCAAAGACAGGCGTTTACTTACAATTCCATTTTTTCACTTACTAGTGTGTTGCATACTGTCTTTTTTTTTTCATTCCATAAATACCAGTAATTGCCAGGTTCACCCTCAATAAAACCTTGACTCATTTATTGTTGCAACTGACAATTGACAACTGACAACACTATTGTAACTGTAACAATATTCAGAAGGAGTAGTAGTTGTAGTGGTCAAGAAAAATTTGATTGTTATGTTTAATGCAGCTTATACTAATTGAACTCTTCTCTGTCAAGTCAGTTACATGTACCTGTAGTTTGTATGAGCTCCTGCCCCATTCCAGTCCCCTGGCACAGGTTTGGGGTCAAAAGTGACTGTGGTTCCAAAATCTTCAGCAACACGATGCAACAGAAATCTTGACATCCAAAGGTGGTCACCCATTTGAATTCCTTCACACGGACCCACCTGGTATTCCCACTAAAAAGGAAAGCAACAATGTGACACTGTAGATACTCAATTAACTAAGACCAAGTTTACTCACCCTCAGTTCTTGTACTGGGGAGTGTTCAATTAAATACATTTTTCATGAGGACTATATTGCTCCATTTATGACATTCATGTATTTAATTACTAAGCCATTTAATTATTTATTTTCACAATAACTGTAAAATAAGCAATGAAAATTACATGAGAAGCTAACCTGTGCAGGCATGACCTCAGCATTAGTTCCTGCAATCTTTACTCCGGCATACAAACAAGCTCGGTAATGAGCTTCCACAACATCTCGGCCGAAAACCTTTCCTGTACCGACAGCACAATAATAGGGTCCCTGTGGTCCTGGAAAACCTCCCTTTGGCCAGCCTAGAGGGTGTCCATCCATGTCTAACAGTGTGTATTCTTGTTCAATACCAAACCACGGAGCAGCTTCCTAACAAACATTAGAGATCAAATGTAAATATTTATATGCTTACACTATTGTCAAGTCACGAGGTCTTATGTTTGAAATGCCTCCTTCACGCAGATTGGATCGGGCTTGTTGTTGTGTTGTTGTTCATTTATTTGTTTAAGCAGGTTAATTAATTGGCAGCTGTAATAGCTGATGTGGACCTGCTGTCCTAACCTACCCATCCCACCCCAGGGAAGGACATCCATCACACAGCAATTTCGTGTGTGGGAAATTAACGTCTCCTGCCCAACCCTGTGCAGGAGACGGGACCTCCATTTATTCGTCCCTATCCGAGAAGACTAGAATATCTAACCATTTCTTGATGTTATAGAAAGGTAGCAAATTCTTCTCAATTATTTTAAGACCTTGAGTGTTGGTCCGGCCGGAGCTGGAACCCTCGACCTCCCGCACTACAGTCCAGCGCTCTATGCATTGAGCTAACCGGGAGGCAGTTAGTTCAATGGTTGAGCGCTGGACTGTAGTGCGGGAGGGAGCTGCTGTAGAGCGCTGTTATCTTCAAAGAGGTGAAAAGGCTGCGGTGTAGTTCGTTCCTGTACTATTCTAGGAGCTTGCGAGGACATGAGAAGTTCAAGTGAAGATTTTATATGAAAATGCGATTTGTTCTCATGACCTCGACCCTTTCTCAACGCTTTCCAAACGAAACTTTTGTTTTATTTCGAGCATAATTAATAACAGCATCAGCTTTATTTCCTTTCCTGTTATATTTTAAAGGATTTCTTTTTATATCAGTACATTCCCTTTTAAATTTTACCTTAATTCTTACGGGTTCATCCGATAGCTGAAGGCGTTTGAGAATACATTTTCGTTACCTTTACAAGGTCGAGACTCATAGCGTCAACGCAGCTTTTTCTCGTATTTGTTGTTGTTGGCTTGTGGTCGAATCGATACGTCTCACAGAGAACCAGTTTGTTCTTTCCTCTCCTGAATGGATCTCTAAATAAGGCCACAGGATGAAGATACACATCACTGTTCGAACCTTCGGCCTGGTTTGTACTGGAGCCATCAAAATTCCAAATGGGAAGATCTTCAGGTTTAGTTGGTTCCTCGCTTACAGTTCGCGTTTTGCAGCGGAGATGCTCGCCGGTTCCGTCCACCCAGATGTACATGGCTTGAATGCTATCACCTTGATCAAGAGACATGTACTTGGCAAGTATAGGGTTATTACTTTTCTCATCCATCGTGTTACTCTTGGAGAAAGACTTTCTGTTGTCGTAAACAATCGTCGTCAGTACCACACTTCCCACAGCGATGCAAATTACCTATGTCCTGCAAAGAAGTATTACTGGATTTATATTTAAGACCCGGGAATTTTGTAGGCCAATCAAAATCACTTATCAAAACACTCGTGATCGAACGCGTGTTTAGCTTGACGTCAAAAGGCACATTCGGCCGAGGAGCATGTGATTCCCATGAGAGCAGTGACTTCACTGCACACACGTTCGAGGAAACCAATCCAAACAATTAGCAATGCTTTGTTCGGGCCTGCGAGACGCAATATTATAATCATGCCTCTAGCGAAGTGTTCCGGCCACCATTGTTTCGCAAGTTGGACGGTCACATTTTGGAGAATCGCTTTCGTGTCGGTTTTCTTCAACGCTCGTGTTGTGAGTTGACAGCTTTTGTCTTTCCTTCTGATCTACTGAGAAGGCCGTCACCGTTAATTCGAATGATTCCGAGTCTATCGTTGTAATCATTCGTCTCATTTTCACGTATGTTATTCAAAAGGTAGACAGCATTTTTGATGGATGAAAAGGAAGAGACAAAAGCTGTCATCATCAAACTTATTGCCAACAAAAACAGTGAAACAAGGAGATAAAGCCATCGTCGCTCCTGTTGGGAGCATAGGGCGGTATCGATCATGGACTTCCAGTGCACTCTAACTTTGGTAGTTCTCTCTCCCTCCCTCTAGGTGATGTTCTTCTCAGCGAGCTCGTCTCGACCTCTTTGAAGGCAGGATAAGTGATATTTTATTCACAGGCTTCCGTAGCGCATTTTACCTATACGGTTTGAATTTTGTTGTGTCCTTTCCCATTTCAGGCCATCGGATATCGAGAATGTTCCTTTACCACTGCAAGTCTTCTTCTGTTCGTCTGATAAATGTGTGATTATGATTTATATAGGTAATTTGATTTCATCAACCGAGTTAATAATGTAAATTGGCTACCGTAAAGAGTTCAATAGAAGTTGACGTTTCGACCGTTAGCCCTTCGTTTTAAACCCTTTACAATGGCCAATTTAAATTATCAACTTACCTGATAAAACCAAATTACCTTGTTACCCCCACCGACGCAGCACCACAGTTTCTTTAGAAACCCACCCCCCCTTATGATGTATACGAGTCTCAGTGCGGTAGCCCACGTGTAACCGTAGCAACCCCTCCAAGGAGAAACGGAAGGGAGAGAACCTCTACAAAAACCTAACACGAATCGTGATACATGGCGAACCACCTCTGGTATGCAAACTTTATAGCGACGGCACAGTTCGTGAGGTCTTGCTTACTTGTTTGCTTACCAACACACCCTTGACATATAAACGATAGCCTTCGTTTGCCCCGAAAATATCTTTCAACACGCGGGAAAAATGTTTACGGATACTGAGTTTATCGTTAATGGCGTGGGATGTTCACTTTTCAGTTTTCTCTGATACGATTTTATGAACGCATAAGACATGTTTCTCCTTCTGTAACAGTCATACAACGCTTCATCTTGAACTAAATTTAAAGCGTAGAGTTTTCAGTCTTGGACGTCAGGTTTGAAAATTGGGGAGTATCACTTTGGGTATATCTTCTTATATTGTTGGAGAATATAAGTTATGAATCAAGTCATTAATTAATTAAATGTCCTAGTAAATATTACAGTCAAACTAAGTGAAGCGTACCCCTCAGGATTACATTATGATTTGATTATTTAAATATTGAACCCGCTAATCGTTTCAGGAGCGCAATAACGAATTGAATACTTGAATATGGAACCCGCTAACCGTTTCAAGAATGCAATAATGCATTGATTATTTGAATATTGAACCCGATAGCCGTATTCGTTTTGATAAGGCGCGGATCATTGTTCAAATCAGAAGTCCATTTCTGATTGGACTATGCGAACACGTGATGATGGATCGGAACTATTTCAAGATGGCGTCAGACATGGGGGAAAGGTGAGTTCGAGTGTTGTGTAGAACTTCTTGTAAATGTTGTAATTGGAATGTTATCGAGAGCTTTTTTCGCCTATTTACAACTTGACAACTTCTAGAAATTCTTGCGTGTATTCATGGTTGAAAAAAATAGTTTACAGGCGAAGCCATTGTAAGACTTTTTGTTTCGTTAATATTTGCGATCGACTGTTTTCGCAATGTTTTTACAGTGCAGTTTGTTCATTTTCAGCAATCCTCGTCAAATAGAACAATCTTATTGGACTTGAGGAATGGACTTCTGGAATGGACTTCGGAATTGGACTTCTAACTTGAACAACGATCCGCGCCTTTTCAAAACGGATACGGCTAACGGGTTCATATTCAAATAATCAATCCAATTGTTGCATTTTTGAAACGGCTAGCGGGTTCAATAATCAAATAATCAATTCATAATTGCATTCTTGAAACGACTGGCGAGTTCAATATCCAAATGATAATTCATTAATGTAATCTTGAGGGGTACGCTTCACTTAGTTTGACTGTAATTATGTCGCCAAATTGTAAAGGATTGCATTAGAGAGTGGGATATATTTCATAAAATTGTAAACAAGTCCGAAGTTGATTTCTTGTAAGAAATATTTTTAATTACAAGCGTTTTTGTACCTAATAAGGGAGGGGAAACGTGCTGTTAGGTGATAAGAATTAGATATAGACATATTGAAGAAGTTTGGCTTTGGATTTTACTGTACTCGTGATTGTAGGAAAAATACTAGCTAGTAGTTACGCAAGGCGAACTATGCGGAATACCATGGTGTTTAAGTTAGATTGTTAGAAAGTTTTAGCTGTTGCAACGAGAGATTGTCAGAACGTTTGAGCTGTTACAAGAGATTTTTGGAACGTTTGAGCTGTTACAACGAGATATTGTTAGAACGTTTGAGTCGTTACAACGAGAGAATTGTCAGAGTGTCGGATGTGTTTGCCAGGAACAGATCTTGAAAAAGAAAGTTGTTTACAATCCAGGACATCTCCCTCACTTCTAATTGGAGGACAATTAGTTTACTGTGTGTAAACGTGTGCAATCCCAACGAAGCTCTCCGCCGTACACACCACCCATACCCTACAGCCGAAGAAATTCTCCAAGATCTAAACGGCTCCAAGTTCTTTTCCAAAATGGATCTTGAGGAATGCTATCACCAAATTAAACTTGGTGAATCGTCTCGTCACTTGACAACATTCAAAACACACGTTGGCCTCCGCCGTTGCAAGCGTCTGCCATATGGAGCATCAGTAGGCTCTGAAATATGTCAACACGTAATTGGACAAGTCCTCGAGGGATGTCATAATCACGGTAAGAAACATTGCTGATGACATTCTCGTCCACGGTACCACTAAAGAAGAGCATGATAGATCCCTAGAAAATGTGTTGCTACGACTCCAAGGAAAAAACCTCACAGTCAACCCAGCTAAGTGTCTATTTGGCGTCCCGGAACTGAACTAATATGGATTTCACATCTCAGCACAAGGCGTATCCCCCGAAAATACACGCAATCAAACGCATGCAGCCACCAACACAGCCACGGAAGCAAGAAGCTTTCTGGGATTAGTAAATACCGTCGCCCGTTTCCTTCCAAACCTAGTTACTATGACAGAGCCAATACGAAGGATCACCCACAAAAACTGTCCGTGGTCTTGGGGCCCAGAGCAATCTGAAGCCTTTAACAAGCTACATGACCTCATATCTAGTGACACGGTTCTGGCCCATTTTGATCCCTCCCTCCCCACCCAAGTACGCCATGATGCTTGCAAGATTGGGATCGGTGGCGCCTTGACTCAGAAGCACCCCGATGGTTCTATGCGGCCCGTTGCGTATGCAAGCCGCAGTCCATCACCCGTTGAACAACGCTACAGCCAAACGGAAAGAGAAGCCTTATCCGGGGTATAGGCATGTGAGAAGTTTCATTTTGACATCCACGGCAACCAGTTTGACTTAGTAGGAGATCACAAACCGCTGGAAGTTCTCCTCAACGGCCGTGGGAACCCTTCACCGAGAATTGAACGTTGGCGTTTACGGCTCCAAAACTACAGCCCACGCATTGTTTACCAACCTGGCATCCAAAATGCTGTCGACTTCCTGTCATGCAAACCCGTCCCTTCCAATACACCCAGAGATCCTCTCGAGGACTACGTTAACTCCATTATAGTTGATTCCCTTCCTTCTGCCATCACTCTTCAGGAGCTTCTTGTCGCTTCCAAATCTGACCCCACCTTGAAGATAATCAAGGAGTGCCTGGACACTGGCAGCTGGTCAGCTGCACCCGCGTCCTTTGCTGATCTAAAGGAAGAACTTTGCCAGAAACCCGGCATTATTCTCCGAAACAATCGTATTGAGATTCCAGAAGCGTTACGCCCACGCATTCTACAATTAGCATACGAGGGGCACCAGGGCATCACTAAAGTTAAACAGCATCTCAGACAACGAGTCTGGGGGCCTGGCATTGATACTCAAGCAGAGAGATATGTGCGCGAATTCCTTTGTTGCCAAATCGTTGGCCCAACTCCTCCTCCAGAGCCTCTCAGAATGACAGATCCATCAAAGCAAGTGTGGCACACAATTCACATTGACTACTGTGGCCCATTCCCATCAGGAGAGTATCTCTTTGTTGCAGTTGATGAAACTTCAAAGTATCCAGAGGTCCATGTTACACACTCAGGTTCTGCGGCCACAGCGATTACGCACCTTAATCAAATGTTCGCAACGCATGGTATTCCTGAAGTCATTACATCTGACAACGTCCCCTTCGGGTCAGAAGAGTTCAAAGCATGGTGCAAACAGCTTGGTATCAAACATCGAAAAATTACGCCCCTTTGGCCAGCTGCTAACGCCCAAGTAGAGCGATTCAACAAAACCCTGGAGAAGACTATTCGAATTGCTACTGTAGAAGGAAAGAACTGACGCTCGGAACTGTTTGTGTTCTTAATGAATAATCGAACCACTCGTCATTCCTCCTCTGGGGTCTCACCCCCATCCATGATGATGAATCGCCACATCAGAACCAAGATTCCCTGTCTAAATCTCCCTCGCACTTCAAATCTTGTTCGTATATCCTGCGCCAATAACAATTTGAGAAAATCAAAGGCAAAGGCATACGTGGATAAACGTCACAACGCCACCCTTTCTGACATTCGCCAGGGAGATCAGGTTTTGCTGCTTCAGAAACGTCAAAACAAGCTAACCACAAGATATGACCCTAGACCCTTTACTGTCGTCAAAAACAAGGGAGTCAGCGTCGAACTTGATAGAGGACAGGCATGATTGTTTAGGAACTTGTCCATGGTCAAAAAAGTTATTGCCTCGTCGAGGGGCACTGAACCCGTTAAAAGACTTGCTCAAGTAGGGAGCGTTCCTAGTCATCGGAGTATTACATTAAGGAACACGGAGCATGTTGGCAGGCCTTTCCGAGAACGGCGTGTTCCCCAATATCTTAACGACTTTCTTTTGCGCTAGGACGTAACTTTCTGAAATTACTGTCTAAATAAGTTTCATTGTGAGCCTAGCTTGGTTTCTTACTACTTCCGTCGTTTCCTGGTCTATATTTGCATTTATGCTTTCTTAGGAAGGGGGGATATTGTATATACGCATTCCGCACCTGGAGTGAAGTGCGCAGGTCATAAGTACACGAGGCAAGGAATAAAGTTGCGTTTGCTTAACGTCCTGAGTTATTGATTCTGCTACAATAACAATAACAATAGCTTTGTATTACATCATACTGTAAATATTTTATTCATCTACTTGTCTGTTATATAATTACTCACGTTCTGTTACTCATTGATTGAAGATGGCATAAGCATGCCGAAACATGTCTCTAAAAAAAGTTGTATATTTCTTACAATATTTATCCTACTTGCTACTACTACGACCTTATGGTATTATCTCATTGTCAATCAAATCAGTTTTACGTATTTCCGCTATTACATCAAACAGCTATCTAAGTACCAACTTAATTCTGTGTCAGCTCCCACTGCACCTGAGGGAGGCTGGTTTGGCCAGCAGAAATATAGTCGGCTCCGTTTTGAAACTTATCTACGTTGTATCGGTCTTGCCTCTATATCTATATTCGTTATTTTGGACGGATTAGATCACTACTGATCCAACCTTCAAGAGTAGGATTATCGTCCACGGTTGCTTACTGAACATTTCACCAAACAAAGTATCTTGGAATTCTTGAACTAATAAAGAACTGGTTCATACTTAGCGTGCATATATCGTGTTATGGATGCACGCAGGTAGTTTGGAGAGCACAAGGGAAGCGTAAGAGTTGCTCAAGGAGTATTCGCATTATGTACGTATGTTACTCGTCGTGCTCAAGTCGTGTTCTAGTCATGGCCAATACCAGCTAGTTTCCAGCAAAGTAGGTGTTACCATTGGTAAGCTTTGGTGTCCATGTCTGTTGCGATAATTAATGCTGAGTTAATCTAAAAAAAAAGTTGGTTTTCTTCTGTCGTTGTGAATCGTACCACATAAAAATTCATCTGGAAATATACATTTAGTAAACAAGGACCACGATATTTAAAAAAAAAACAAAACAAAACACACGGATTTAACAATCTCTTGTTAAAAAGTCTATAGCGGCTGAGTTCAAGCTATTAAGAAAGCGGGGATTTTGGACGAAAAAATTATGTGGCTGTTTTCCGTCTCAATTAGGAATTGTCAGTATCGTCCATCGTCAGTTCTGTTACCATTTTCGTTAGTAGTTTTAATCTTTATGATATAAATTTCACTGATCATTGTCCCTTGAAACTAAGGTCAGCTGAAACACAAGAGTAAGCAGAGAAAGAGATAAAGGAGAATTAACAGAATATCAAAAAAGTTATGAATGTAATAACAACGCAAAACCAATAACATAATAATATGTTAATAATAAGAAAGTAATGATCATAAAGAAATAGCAATGGTAATTCACTTGTTGATCTACAGTCCACTTAGCGACTGGTGGTTAAAAGGAGGAGGGATGCCGGGCGATAGATGGGTGATAGTTGGACAGTGTGGTCCGGCATCGGTGGACCTCCCTGTCCTTGTGTTTACAGTTATGGTTAATATTGAATGCAGTTTTCGAGGGGTTAAGTTTTTCCTCGTTAACGTTGTTTGCTTCAGATGATCGTTTCCGGAAAATGTTTTATCGGGTTTTTTCTCATCAGTAACCTCTCGTTAAAGATAAACTCTTTTTAGTAGATACAAAAGAATCGTCGAGTACACAATATTTTTTCTGTTCGATTTCAGCTATGAAAACAAAGATAAAATCTTGAGCCTATTTTACGAGTAGCACTATGAGTAGCATAGATTCGTCAAAAGACTGCTGATGCTTTTCTTTTAGTTCCTTGATGTTTTGCATTGACACCAAGGGGCAAACTATATACCACCATGATGTTAGCACCAGCTCTTCAACCACCGTTTGAAGGATGCTAAAGAAATGAGAGCATTGTAGAATTATGAAAAACGATAGGCACTGTTTCCCTTAATTCCAATTTAATGAGTTTTTTTGTTTCTTTTCGTCTCAAAACACTTTAAATCACACCCTCAACAAAATGTATCTGCGAATATCTACCAGAAACTCAAACCGATAACCGGGCTCCAACTTTGTCCGTGCAAGACAAAAGAATGGCGAGTCATTAAAATTCAACTTCACGTGAAAGTGTCAATAATTAAAAACCTGCACATAATATAAAAGTAACCGTGATGATCCTTTGTGATAAGCCGCCTTGACCGAGGGACACGAGCTTGGTACGTATGTCGTTAAAAAACATTTTCTTAGTACTAAATACATTTCGAACCAGCTACATGACTTACTTCATTCTTTACAGGAACCATGGACGGCAGATTAACTTTCTCTGTTGTCCTTACGTCTATTATTCTTCTCGTGAAATCATGGCCGACAGAAATACGAGTTCCTGCAAAGCAAGAACCAGGTCAGTTCGATGCTGTTTTCTTTTGTTATATAACTTTGTTCGGCTAAATCAAAATCTTGATGATCGTGAACGATTTCTTGCTAAGACTGCACGTTTTCTTTTTGAGTTATTTTGTAGAAAAAGAGGTTCTGCTGACCCTTAAGTAGAAAACCTTGAATCGTGATATTCTAGAAAAATGTTATTCCATCTTAACTAAAACTATTCCTTTATCTCAAATATAATTAACCTCGTTCTAATGCTTGCCTGAGTCAACGAAGTGTAATTTCCTCCATCGTCCCTGCTACACTAAACTTCGATGTCGCATGGTACTGGAGATAGACATTCTGGGGAAATGGCAAATTTCCATTGAAAATTAATTTTCTTAAGTCGAAAATTTGAAAAAGTTCACCGAAATGGCCAAGTATAAAGTATTAATTAAAATAACTATTGGCGGTGTATGCGGGCGAGGCCTGAAAGTTAGTTGTTGCAGTGCAAGTGACTGTAAAATACTTTTTGAACGATTTTGGCGGCAGTAACACAAATAACTACTGTATCGTTGTCATATTATTGCCGCTGAAGAAAGGGAGAATGACTATGGATTCTTGAAAGACACTTGGACGCTCCTCATTTTTGGAGTTACGGGACATATCTCCAAAACTCCTCGCTCCAAGTTGAAATCTTATGGCGATCGCGCCTTTTCTGTCTTTGCACTAAGCTGTGGAATGACATTCCTGAAACTATAAAATGTAGCGTAGGTCTTAACGCTTTTAAGCGTAATCTTAAAACTTATCTTTTTAAGCATTATTTTAATGAATGATTATGTTTGATTATTATTTTTACTTTTTACCTTCATTGTGAAGCGCCTTAGAGCTTTTGGATAGGGCGCTAAATAAATTGTCATTTATTTATTTATTTATAAGGAATAAGGAGTTCTTCACGATGAGTCCGTAAAAGAGTAAGATTGGAGTGACTGACAAAATCATAGGCAAAAAGAAAAAATCGTTATGAATTGATGATTAAGCTTCGTATTGTGGGAAATATTAAAAGTAATAAAGTTTATGGCTGGTCTTCCGTGATTAGCCGCTACGAAGAGAGGAAACGGTCCGCTATTGTGTGAAGGACTTACCTAACGCGTGTATACTGGTGCCGGACCACACAGCACACGTGTTGTAAATATTCAATAACGAACCTGATGAATTTTCATTGTTTTCGTCGGTAGCATCGTTCACGAGCACCCGCAATCTAGCCCCTGTAAGAAAACTGCTTTCAACAAATATTAAAACGGGTTTTGAATCCAGCAAAATATCGTAGATTCATTTACCTGTTAATAAGTAGCATTGGTCAACTACTTAACGAAGACATCCGCGTCGGTCGGGTAACTCGGGTTGCTCCGTCGGCGGCTTTCATACTTAAGCCAGCGAAACGTTACTTACTAGATCTGCGTTAGCTAAGTGCTGTTATGTCTGCGATAAAGCCTGGATTCGTTGCTTGCATCTATACTTGCCTAAAGAAAGATGCTTTTAGTCTTTTAACGAGCGTAATAAATTGAATACAGACCTTCAGATTCCACGCTGTGATGCTCCACCACCGATCTACAGCTTGGTCATAACTTGACTCATATTTGACAAGAGTCCTGAATATTGCTAGGATCTGCAATGTAGTTACACCTGCCTGCTTGTTGTAAATCACAACGGCAAGTTTTGTTTTCTATTTCCCACAGACATAAATATGGGAAAAGCAGAAAACTTTGTAAGGGGTGTGATAACATAGAGGATCAACTTAATATTCATTGTGGCAAGGTGGCGTTAGTACACCGATCTCACTTTTCTGTAACTCGTGGTGAGGTAGACGTGCAGAAATCAGATGCATTTAAAACGTAAATTATAGTCGAGTGGAAAGCTCATTTGTGACCAGTAATCTAAGTAAATTTTGGAGGAATAAAAGCTTGACAACAGTTCTTGCCAAAGAACATTGTTGGGGCACTTATGGATGCTGTTTCTTCCGCAATCTCAACCCATGTTTTCATGAATTCGATGTTTTATTATCTGAAATGATTGCTTAACATAAATTTTTTGTATGTGTATTTCTTTAGGCCTCCAGCGTGACCTAAATTATTTACTCTCGGATTTTTCTTGACTGAATGGAGTTTTTTTTTTGTTCTATTCAAATGGTTAGGTGGGAAAAGACAGATGTGGTATCCTCCCCCACCGCCACCCCCACCTCCACCACCACCACCACCCCCTGGCCCACCTGGATCAGATGGACCCATGGGACCCCCGGGACCTCAAGGACCAGATGGACCTAAAGGGCCCCCAGGGCCCCCAGGGCTACCAGGACCACCGGGTATACCAGGGTATCCTGGAAATCCCGCTGGGCCACCAGGTAGACCAGGACCTCCTGGACCTCCCGGACCAGCCGGGGGCCAAGGACCCCCAGGAGACATGGGAGCAGCGGGCGCTCCTGGCGGAGCAGGCGGAGCAGGACAACACTTGGGTAAACGGAAGCGAGAATTAACTGCGTGGGGAGAAATCACGAGACTATCAAGGGCTTCAAAACTGAAGAAAATTGCTGACTTATCTCAAGAATTGTTAGGCTGGCTTTGACATTGCACCACGGATTTCCGATAATTTTTTTTGTATGCAAGACTACACATTTTGTACTTCTAGATTCAAAGCATATTAACGTGGTTTCGGCATCTTTGTTTTTAAATTATCACAAGTTTTAAGAGAATAAGATTTTGTAAACAGTTGACAGAAGATCCTGAAACCATCAAGGCTACAAATTTATCATAAAGTTTGACATTCTTTTTTGTGAGTTTTTGAGAACAAAAGAGATCCGAAGATAAAGTTTTAATGGCCACTTTGGTTAACAGAAGATATTGTGGTGTTGTAGAAATGTCCTCAGAGATTAGTGAAATAAAGATATTTAGTTGAGTCTCAAGTTTTGTTTACTTACCTACTCAGGTACAAAGATGAGTCCTCGAATGGAATGTAACCATATTACTTGATTCATACAGTCAAACCCGTATTAAGCGCTTAATACAGGTAGACAGCTTATAACAAAGGTTCCACATAATAGGGTATTATAAAAAAAAGCCTTAAAAGAACGTCATTTAATGTCATAATTACCACTTAATGTACAAACCTCGCTCAAAAATAAATCAACAATGATTTTGGGAGATAATTATAGACTGAATTTTACTTGAACGATTATTCTTAGTTTATTTGAGTAGTTCTGCTTTTAGCGACCGTTCAATAAAGGAGGACAATCTAAAATAGGCCGTTGGGACTCAGTACAAGGTGCCAAAAGTTCATTCCTATATGCACCTTTCAAAGTGGAGGTAAAAATATCAATGTTTCTTGAGTAATCTCCTCTTTCAAATCTAACATCAAATTAAATGTATTTCAACCTGAATTCTATGTTGTCGTTCTTGTGGCTGAATACGAAAACCTTCAGCTTTTGTAATGGTATAGGTTAAGTTCAAATCAAAAGAAAACCCAAAGCACGAGAGTAAATGCGTAATTGGTTTTAGTAGGGATGTAAGAAGCCATTCCTCTTTGATCCTCTATGGCCGTTTTGTGACATGTAAAAGGGAGCTGGTGGGCGTGAGGGACGGGAGGATTACGATCACGAGGATAATTATCATTCATGCAGCTATCTGGTATCGTATTTCTGATTTGCAAAATTCCATTGTGTTCCCGTCATTTTCTGAAATGTTGTGAAGCCCTCTCCAGATGTTCTCACAATGGAGGAATCAAACGCAACGTACTTTGAAGCATGAAGAGCGAACAAAAGTACAGTTGAACCTGTATTAAGCGGCCCTGTATTGAGCGGTCACCAGGAGCCCAAGTGATGGGCTCCTGGCGGTCACTCTGTATTAAGCCGTCGTTCCAAACTCCCGTAATTTTTACTCCTTAATTAGCGTAAGGAGAGTAAACGAGTCACCTAGCCCATGGAATGTGCTCAAACGTCGACTACGTTTAGTTTCTAAGTTTCGTTACAGCGTCTTCTCAAATAGGCTAGTTCTCTCGGGTCCGGTCTTTTTCATTCCTCCCCGAGAAGAGACGGCTGGACGCACGAGCGGCCATCCATGTCTGTGACGTAATTTGAAAAATTAATCTATGCGTTCTCAGATGTCACCGGAAGTGAAATAGGACTTCAATTTGAATGGATGGCGTACACATAATCACTAATACGCCGACTAAATTTAACTTGAAAACTGGAGGTCTTCTGTGGCTGCGAAGAAAAAGAGTCTAGGAAGAAATCCTAGGTGTCTGATTAGCGGAAAAGGATTCGCGAAGTACTGGAGATTCCTCTTTCTCGAATAGACGTGCACGGTTATATTTGTAACGATCACTGCTATCGACAAGTCAAGCGCCTTGAAAGGCTCCGAGAAGATACAAATACCCTTCATCGCTCGTTGAAGGAAATTTTCGAAATGATTAATGGAACGCTTGACTTCGCTTTTAACAAAGGCCTCATATCATGTCTCCACAACAAAAACAATCGGCGCGGACTGAAAAATCAGCGACTTCCCGACTCCATTGGTTGGAATCAAGAAGACATGTTGCCGCAAACCAGCTTCTCTAGAGCTTCTCGTTGTAAATCTTTCAAACTTTCGATCTTAATCGTCTCTAAAATTCGTTCGCACGCCACATTCATTGATTCATCATCATCCACCATTTTGAAAACTTTGTCTGACAAGATAATTTATGCGGCTTTACAAAAATCTGCAGGCAAAATTCTGATTGGCTATAAGGAACAAAAGAAACCTCACACGTCCAGCCGTTGGTTCGGGGAGGGGCGCGCGCTCCGCTTCCCGAAAAGTGGTTGGTAATCGAGCCTACTTCTCAAAGGACTTTGGGAAATCTTCCAGTGTTAGCAGTTGCATAGAGAGTTCAACCCTACACGGAATGTGAAGTCAATGTGAGTGTTTGGAATCGCTTCCTGAATGAAGACTGTTTTTGAGAATTTTTTTTTTTTTTTTTTCAGAACTGATGTTGGTTGACAGCTAACTTTCCATAAATATCGCGATTTTAGTTTTGTTTCAATGTTCTGATTGCGCAGTTGAAAGTTCTATGGCTTCTTCTCTCATCTCTTTCCAACAACAGCGACAAGCATGAATCTTCCGATCGAAGTACATCTTAGAGAGACAAACCTGAACTATATCAAGCTTTGGTTACACCTAGAAATGAAAGCCCCTACATTTTAGTGTTTATATATATAATGAAACATAATTAACGTCCTGCTGGTGGGCACCTAAATGCATGCCAAACGCCCTTTAGGCCATTTAGCTTGGGAGATAACTATCTCCTCAACAATTACAAGTTGGTAACTTTTTGGTGCGTTTGGAAGTAAATTTGACCAATGTAAGGCCCACGTATGAGCAAATCGGTCCTCCCTGCCATTAGACGGAGATAATTCATAATTTGGCTTCAATAAAGGAACAAAATATATCACATTGACTATGTCGAGGAAAAGCGGACCGGCTTAGTCTTCAAAAAAAATCTCGAAAAGCCAGAAGCAGTGGAGTAAGGACTGTTATGGTTCTCGGAAATGACCAGCGAGACCAGTCAATCTGAACTTGAATAGCGACTCTCCTGAGTCAGTGTTATCCTTCTTTATTGATTCATAACAGAGTAGTCGGTAAAGTAAATAAATTGGCTAAAGCTCTAGTAAAAATTCTCATTAACCACGAAGTTATCCAAATGAATCAACAATCTGGCCCCATGACGGGGCTTCAAGCGAGAAACTTGACAGCATTACAGTTTTGGCTTCATTAGAATTGCACGTGCGAGTTTCTTCTTCTAAAACCTGAAAAATTCCACCAACGGATCCCTATACCTGAAGCTATTCTCTGCACAGCTCACAATTCATAAAATCTGCAAAGATTGGCCTGATTACTACGTACGCCTTAACCTTTCTTAGCAAAACAAGTAAGCGTTACTGTTCGCCGATGACTGTTTCTACCGAGGATACGGTATCATTTAACTCACATGTCACAAAAAAACAACTACTTAGGAAATTGCTTAAGGAATTTAGCATCGTCAAACACCTACGATGCATGATCAACGACTAGGAGAGGGTTAATACAGAAGAACCAGGCAGCACTTTACAAGATGCAGACAGTTCCAAGGAAAATTAATCAGACAGTTGAGTCAGTCAATTCCGCTTTCCTTACAATGATATACAAAAAGATGAAATCGTGTTTAAATTTAAACTATCGAATTATCCGAAGTTTACAACATTAAAGGACTTCAGCCAAATATTCAGCAAAGCGGTTGCAATAGCTCAAAACATCCTGTACCACTCCCAACGACCCGCCCAACAACTAGTCTTGACGATGGTGAAACTAAACGTTCTGTGTCCCCTGAAAGAACCGCTCCACGAAGAAAGTGTGTCGTCGTTTCAAAACTCATTTTTTGAAAAGGAGAAGCGTTTGATTCAAGTCCAACGCGATTAAATGCCTTGATTGTCCCTTCGTAAGTCATGTAGTCCGATATGAGACTGAGGTGACGTGGATCTACGTTGATTCCGTACGCACTGAAGACATTCTTTATTTCCTTGAAAAACGAAAAACCGTGAAACAACTTAAAATCTGCGACTAGAGTAAGAACGCATGGGAAAAGAAGATGTAGAGGAAGGATAACATCAGAGATTAAATCGGCTCAACGTTCACCGATATCGCAAGACTGGCCGCTGAGAATTGTGAGGAATGGTGGAAATTGGTCGGCAATTCATTTGCGGCGCTTCCACGGTCAACGAGTAAAGTAACAAAAGAAATACCGAGCAAAAGAGAGACATTCCAGTTCCTATTTTAGCAACTGATCATTCTGTTGCTGTTAGGCCACTTCATCAACAAACGTTTTCGTTCTTAATAGATTAAGGAAAAATACCTTTTTTATAACTTTCGCTGCAGCTTCAATCCCATAAACCCTTGCCATAGCATGAATATCGTTGGTGTACACCTTTGTCAAGTCTAATACATCTTCATATTGCCACGCTTCCTAGTAAAATAACACGTGAAAAATTTCTTAACACTTCATATTTCAGGAAATCAGTGAAAAACAAAAAAATAAGGTACAGACTTAACAAGTTAGTCACATGATGAAAACAAAGAGCTTTGACAAATACGGAGAACACTTCTAAAAATCGTCGCTTCGTGAACTTCAAGTGGAAATCCAGACAATGTGTGGACAACAAGTAAGACTAGGGCGTCAATTCGCACACCGTACACACCGGCAAAGCATTTAGCAGACTTGTTAGCATGCTGTCCACTCTCCAATAGTCCGTAATAGTCTAGAAGTACATGAATGGTCAAGTACGTGTGTCACTGTTATTAGGGACCTTAAGCAGTCAGGACGGCAACGCCACGGAAGACGTCGATTAAAAAATGGCTGCATATGTTTACCGTCTCATAGGGCGCTAGACATCAAACTCAAAATAACGCATAACAGTAGCGTTGAGTTCCAAATGTAAATTAAAATAATTTGCCAGCGCGGTTTCGGTTCGCAGACGACGCAAATTTTGGTGATTTCACGTGGTTGTTTTGCAAAGGACGGCTAAGAAATGTACAAAGTTTTAAAACGCACGTGCTGGGCTATTGTTCTGCCAATTAGATCTATTGTTTATCCACGTTCTCGTTGCCGTCGCCGTCGTGGTTTGCTTAAAGTCCCTATTAAGACATTAGGAGCCGAGCCAAGTTAGGGTCTGATTACATGAGCCGGGCTGGCCCGGTTAGCAGGGCTGATTTCTTTTGTTTTCACGGTTTGGCGAACACCAAAACAAAAGAAATCAGCCCGGCTAACAGGGCCAGCCCGGCTCATGTAATCAGGCCCTTAGTCACTTTGTGTACCACGAGATTAGTGTAGGATTATTAACGATAAGATGACGAAGAAGGGGACGAGGAAGATTGATCAGTCAATTAAGTCAGACAAATACAATGGAATGTATATTTCTACCACTCCTTAAATCAGCCATTCACTGCAAAGTCCACGTTACAATAAACCCATTTTTCGTTGAAAATGTAACTGACAGCGTATACTGCTATAGTATTCAAGATAAGAAGTTTCACGGTGAATTTGAAATACAAATTTACTTTTACACACAATTACACATGAACAAGGTGGGTGAACAACCTGGAAATCTTCAACGTACCGAGGACAAAGAATAAAAATTCTGTAATTCAATACACCCAAATTGTCCTTTGTAACGAGGGCAGACGAATGCAAACTTTCGTTTTGAATGCAAAAATTGTCCGCAATGAATCACAAAAAAGTCGGAGTTGTTTTAAGTAATTTCGTTGTAGTTTTAACCAAGGATTTTTCTTCTGTCTGTAACAGTAAGGTGTTCAGATGGCGAGAGACAACTTAACATGATATTCACCAACTCAATAGTACGGAAGGAATAAAAATTATTCGGTGATATCGACCAACACTTACTCGAATGTTAACTCCCTCTGTTTTGAGCACCACACTATCATTATTTTCAATTAAAAAGCATCGATTTATGTGCGGCGTTTCATAGACAACAC